CCCGGTCCCGGTACTGCCGCTGCGGCCGTGTCCTTGGCCGCCAGGGCGGGGCCGCCGCAGACGCAGCTCGGCAGCCGCCGCGAGGGCCGTGGGACGCCCATGGGCCCGGGCGGCGCTCCTGAAGGCACCCCAGGGCCGGGAGCGCTGTCTAGCCCTGGGCCAAGTCCCCGGGGGGGCTGGGAACGGGATGCGGCCCCTCCTGTTCCCACCCCCCTTGCCACAGCCTGGATCTGCCCCCGCACCCTGCCGCGTCTCGGAACCATGACATAGGCCAGCCCAAGCAGGGTGGGGCAGTCGATTCGGTGGAGAGTGCAGAGGCCAGCTCCGCACGGAGTGTGCCTGCCCTGTGACTGCCCCTTGGCACCGCACTTGCAACCCTGCAGCTCTTTCTGAAGAGAAGCTGGTAACAAACCACTACCTGATCTCTAATAGTGCTGCCTCCTCTCGCAGCAGTGGCCTCTCCCATGTCTCACAGTGGGGTGTGTTTCCCACCAAGTGCATTGCTCACCCCTGGCTGAATTGTTTTATGAAGCTGAATGTTGCTACTAGTGTCATGCACAGGGTCTACAGCCTGCTGTTTCTAGTGCCCAAATGTGTAGCCAGCATCTGTTGACTTTGAAGGCCAGTTGCAAGGCCTATTTCCTTACTCAGCTTTATATGCCAGACAACCGTGAAAGATGGGTGCTGATATGGGCTTCTCTTGGTTTTGGAGGAGGTTTTCAAGTCTGTATTTTGTCAAAGGTAGACAGGCTTGATGTCTAGCTTGTTCTTTGTGAGGGAGTAACACACCAGCTTCTTAAAACACAGCTGCTAGGGAAGTGCAAAGTTAATGGAAATGTGTTTTCTTTGGAAAACTTCACCCTGGTAATATTTTCTTAAATCCCTGTTTTGTTTTTCCAATAGGAGGCGTGGATGAGATATACACCAACTGAGGAGGAAAAAAGACTCCTCTCTGAATGCAAGCGTGAGAGTTTCTTGTATAGATGTAAGGCCAATTTCCTAAGAATCTGTGTGTCTCCCCTTTCTCTCTCCAGATATATAAAACAAGGCGAATAAGGACAAAAAATTATATAGATAAATGTGTGTATATGTATAATGTTTTTTCCTTATTTTCTCAGTAGCAAATTAATTCATACGGTGAAATTGAGACAAAACATGCTGTTAAGCCTGTTCATAACATTAATGTCAAACTGATGCTTTGTGTATATGTATTAATAGTTACTCATGGCCTAGCCTTTTTAGCAACTAGTATAATTAAAATCCTGTGTTGACATTCAGATGCATGTTTGTGCTTGTTTAAGTCTGCACAATAACAGTTATGTAATGTTATCAATCAGGTTTTTAAGTAGTGTTCAAAGAGCAACCAGGAATAGGTCTTGACTACCACATGTAGGACAGACACAGGGCCAGGCAGACCGTGCCCTAACATCCTTACCTAAACAAGTGTATGGGTCGCATGACTATATCTGGATGTTTTCTCATTTCTTCCCTCAACATAATTATAATAGTAATTGCCTTTATAACTAATTATTGACTATTTATTTCTTGCTTTATTGCTCACTCACTGTTTACTACTTATGTATTCGTTCTTCATAAAGGAAAGGCTTTAGTGGGCAAAAACTCTTGAATTCCAATTTACTACTTGCAAATTACAGTGCAGGGTTAATTATTTCAGTTGGGGCAAAGAATTAAATGTTGGGTGCCTTAATACCCACTGGCTTTCTACCGCTACAGCAATTGCACGAAATATGGTTCACGGAGCAAACATTGTAAGTCATGCCTTGTTTTTATAATTTCATGACAGACATTTTTATACATTGCACTAACTGCAAGGTGGTATAGCACCCTTAATCTATTCAGAAAAAGTCTGAAGTATTTTAAACCACTTTGGTAAAGCAGTTGTAGTGTATATTTCTAGCATAGTTACCCTTAAGCTTTGAACAGTGCTGTTGTGGGATTTCCCACTCGGGTCTTAATGTCAAAAAGGATGAGGTGTCTTGTAGCAGACAGTATTTTTTTATATAATATATTCCTGAGTAAGATATCTTGATCTGAGAGATCCCTACTCATAGCGAGTAATTTCTGTACAGTTGTATTTTTGTAATATAAATAAGCTCTTACTATATGTAAAAACTGGTCAGGGGGGATCAGAAGGCATTGGGGGAGTCACTGTTCCCCCGGGCACAGCCAGGAGTGACCAGGAACAAC